AGTGTGGTTGGTGGTGGTAGTGGTAGTTATAATGGTGGTGGTAGTGATGGTGATAGCAATGGTGGTTATGGAGAAGATGGTGTTTTGAGAGAGAGAGAGAGAGAGAGAGAGAGAGAGAGAGAGAGAGAGAGAGAGAGAGAGAGAGAGAGAGAGAGAGAGAGGAGAGAGAGAGAGAGAGGCTAACTACTTCCTATCAACACACACCCCAGAGCATCTGTGGCCGACGTGGCAGGGTAGGTAGGTAGGTGTGGGTAGGAAGGAGTGGAGTTAAGAGCTAATTTAGCGGTTTCTGCTTAATTAGCGCCACAAAGCCAACTAAGCGCAACTCGCTCGAGGATAAGATACAACCTGGCAAGTTCCTTCGTATTCTCAGAGTGTTGTGGTCGTCAGAAGGTAAAGGCACCCGATAACTTGTTTGGGTACAGATTCTTGTGGGTTAACATTTTCTTCCATTCTTTAACTTCTGACGAGTGAAGCCTCGTTAAAGAAGCTTTGGTACAAATTCGATATAATTTTCATATAGGGTGTTGGAAGTTGAGTTAGTGGATAGTTATTGTCTGATGTGTGTGTGTTAGTTAATGGGAAGATATTTACTAAGAACTTTGAGAATCTATATGGGAAGGAGGTTAAGTGAATCGGTTAGTCAGTCATTAGTGTGTGTGTGTGTGTGTGTGTGTGGACCCTGAGGAACAAATAGATGCCTGTAAACACACACACACACACACACACACACACACACATACAACAGAGTTTACAATAAAATCTCCTCTTAACCACAATACAAAGTAAACGATAATAAATAACAGAAATAAAACACTTTGTAAAATAACAGGAAAACAAGAAATGGGGGAATAATGAAAAAGAAATAAACAAGAGATATATAGATAATATTGAACAAAAAGACGTATAGAGAAACAGTGAATAAGAGGACATGAAAGAGATGAAGATAACAGACAGAGGGAAACGATGAATAAATGAGGAATCAAAGAGGTAGAAGAATAAATATTATCTAATGAATAGTCAGACACAGGAAAAATACGGAGTAAAAATAAGAACAAAACACGAAACGATTTATCTTCTGTTAACACAAACACTCAAAGATAAACTTGGAAATATCATTGCATTCACCATGGCACTACACCCTTGACACTACACCCATGACACTATGCCCATGACACTACACCCATGACACAACGCCCATGGCACTACGCCCATGACACTGCACCCATGGCACTACACCTTGACGCTACACCCATGACACTACACCCATGACACTACACCCATGACACAATACCCATGACACTACACCCATGACACAACGCCCACGACACTACGCCCATGACACAGCTCGATATACGTGCAACTTTGAGAGGTAATTTCAGCTTCCCAGCTGAAGACACGGGTACGGAGTCTGCCAAAGGCTTGAGATGCACATCTGATCCGATGCTGAATCTCTTCATCAATGTCTGCGGTGGTGGACAGGTGGGAGCCGAGATACTAAAAGTGGGTAACATTACAGAGGGTAGTACAGTTAAGCTAGATGGATATTGGTGGTGTGGCTTAACCAGGGCAGGTTGAAAGAGAATCTGAGTATTACATGCATTCACCTTAAGTCTGAAGTGTATACGCATCTGCATAGATGTTCAGGATCTCCCTGTAGGTCGCATTCAGTGTGAGCGAAGAGGGTGAGGTCGTCTGCATACTGAAGTTCAGTAATGGAAGCTGCCGACACCTTTGTTCTTGCCTGGAGTCGTCTTATGTTAAAAAGACCTTCACCCGGTACTCGATGTTCACCCGCCGGCACTGGCATGAGTAAGGAAAGCAGCCAAGAAAATGGAAGAGAGCCGATGCCAGTACACACCCTTGTTTTACTCCCGGATTGTATAGGGAAGAACTCAGACTGGGTGCCAGTGTGCAGGGCACTGCCGTTTATGCCATCGTGGAGTTGCCTCACAATGGCAATGAATTTTGGTGGGCAGCCAAACGGCTGAGGGTCCGCCAGAGGGCTTCCCTGTTGACCGAGACGAAGGCCTTGGTTAGGTCGATGAAGACCATGTACAGGTCATGACGCTGTTCTCTGCACTTTTCCTGTATCTGGAGGGCAGCAAAGATCATGTCAGTGGTGCCATGTGATGGTCTAAAGCCAAATTGAGATTCTGGGAGTAAGTTTTCCGCCTCAGGAAGAAGTCTGTTTAGGAGGATTCGGGCGATAATCTTGCAGCTACGGACAGCAGCGAGATCATGCTGTAGTTGCCACAGTCTAACCGGTCTCCCTTGTTCTTATAAATATTGACAATAGAGGCGTCTTTAAGAGCTTGGGGATTTCTCCTTCTCCCATATATTCTCCAGGAGAGTGAGACACTTGTAAGCAGAGGTCCTCCGCTTTATACACCTCGGCTGGGATTCCATCAGGCCCTGAGGTTTTGTTATTTTCATCTGTTTGCTGGCAGTTGCAACCTCATCCGGGATGGAGGATAGCTGAAGTGGGTCAGCTCAGGTGCTGGGGAACTTGCTGGGTAGTCGGGTCATCCACATCGGTGTTTCGGTTGAGCAGTGAATGGTAGTGCTTTTCCAGCGCTGAAGGAGGCCTTCTTCATCTTTAATTAGGGAGTTACCGTCGGATGAGCGGAGGGAGGGAGGTGCGCCATGAGTGACTGGCCCAGAAAATGTATCAGTGGAATTGAAAACTTCGCGCATCTTATGTTGATCTGCAAGTTTTTGTGTTAACATGGTTTATTTTTAAACCAGTAGTTCTCTAGGTTGCGAAGTTCCTGCTGGGCTGCTGCTTTCTTTTGGAAGGTATCAGCTTTGGTCCGAGACTGAGGGTTGTTCTGCCACTCAGTTAAAGCAGCACGTTTATCATCGACGAGTACATTGATTGCCGGGTCATTTTCATCAAACCAGTCCTGGTGTATTCTTTCAATCTGGCCGAGGGTCTCTGTAGGTTTTTGTCATAAAAGTGTCGAGAATATCCCATTCAGCACTGGGATTTAGGTTGTAAGCTGTCCCAAAACACAAAGCAACACCCACAGCACAACAGTCCAACACCTACAACACAACAAACACACAACACCCACAACACAACACAAACACCCACAACACAACACACTACAACACAAATCCACAACACACTATTCACAACACACATAACACCACACATAACACCACACATACAACACACCACAACACCATAGCACACCACAACACGCCACAACACACCACAACACAACACCCACACCACAACACACCACACACCACACCACACCACACCACAACACCCACACCACAACACAACACACCACAACACAACACGCCACAACACACCACAACACACCACACCATACCACAACAACACACCACAACACCCCACACACCACAACACACCACACCATACCACAACACCCCACAACACCCCACACCACAACACACCACAACACACCACAACACCCACAACACACCACAACACACCACAACACACCACACACACCACAACACAACACCCCACACCACAACACACCACAACACACCACAACACACCACAACAACACAACTTCTCTTCATTATCGCATTGTTAATTTAAACTCCCAAAGACTTTACCACTAAATTTTGAGGACCTCCTTCATCTTAAACCTGTAGTATAGTCTTGTAGATACTGTAATGCAGTACATGAGGTTAAGTAGTTAGGGGTTAGGTAGGAGAGGATAGGTTGAAAGTAGGTTGGGTTAGGGTTTGAGTTAGATTAAGTTTGATTTGATTAGGTTAGATTGGGGTTAAGCTATCTTAGGTTTTGCTTAGGATAGCTTTCGTTGGATCATCAATTAGGTTAGCTTAAATCAAGTGAATTCAGGTCATGGCAGGTCAGATCAAAGTGGGTTATATGAACCTACATCGTACAAACACTTCAGACAAACACAAACACGGTATGATAATATTAAACAAACATTCTCCGCTTTTATAAACAAACACACGGATCTTTAACTACAAACACCTCCTCTTCTCCGCCAGTCCTTACACCTGGCCTACATAAAGCTAGAGTTAATCTATACACCTGACTTTTATAGGAATTTAACTTGCTTTCACACACCTGTCATTTAGAAACCTTGATCTAATCTCCACACCTGTCATTTAGAAACCTTGATCTAATCTCCACACCTGTCATTTAGAAACCTTGATCTAATCTCCACACCTGTCATTTAGAAACCTTGATCTAATCTCCACACCTGTCATTTAGAAACCTTGATCTAATCTCCACACCTGTTATTTAGAAACCCATAATTCGTCTTTACACCTGTCATTTAGAAGCCTAGAACCCATCTCCACACCTGGAAGCACGAACAGGTAAAACTCACCTGCACATTGAACCTCTGCCTTATATACTACCTCTATTCCTCCCTCAGTATCGACGCCCGCAGCGGTACTCTGGACACCTCGGTACATTGGTCAGGTCTGGGCAAGAGGGCACACTTCGACCTGAGCCCTCCACCCAGAGCTTGTTCATTCACCCCGTAGAGGCCGAAGACCAAGGGGATTATCGCTGTAGGGTCGATTTCAGGCCTCCCCCACCAGGAATTTAAGGGTGACACTGGAGGTTGTAGGTGAGTAGGGTTGAATTGAGACCTCATCCTCACCAGGAACCTGGAGGGGATAGGGTCGATTGTAAGGGCCTGAACCTACTGAACCTACTTGTCTACTCTATTATTCCCCACAGTATTACGTGTTTCTCCCCTCACAGTAATTACGTTTTCCCCCACAATAACCACGTGTCTCTCCACAGTTCCCCACAGCGGGTCAGCATCACCAACGCGGCGGGGTTGGAGGTCAAGGGGGTCATTGGTCCCATCCTGTTGGTGGGAGTTTGACCTCACCTGTCAGGCCTTGGGAGGTAAGAGAGAGAGAGAGAGAGAGAGAGGAGGAGAGAGAGGGGGGGGGGGGGGGGGGGGGGGGGGGGGGGGGGGGGTTTACCATACATGTAACATGACTTCTGTGACCTAGGTTCGACCCGCCCCGCTGGTCACCTGGTGGCATGATGGACCCTACTGGATGACAAGAGCGAGAAGAACACCAGCGAGGTCACCCAGAACCGGTTGACCTTGCCCTCCTCACCCGCCAACACCTGTACCGGGTCATTACCTGCCAGGCTGCCAACTCAAACTTGAGTCATCCCTGCACACCTCCATCACGCTGGACATGAGCTGTGAGTGTTGCTGTGGTGCAGTGTGTTGCGGTGTGTTGCTGTGGTGTAGTGTGTTGCTATGGTGCAGTGTTGCTATGGTGCAGTGTGTTGCTATGGTGCTGTGTTGCTATGGTGCTGTGTGTTGCTGTGGACTGTAGTGCTGTGTGTTACTGTAGTGCTGTAATAATACTGTAGTGCTGCCATACAATGCTGTAACTTATTGTAATTGCTGTAATGTTACTGTAGTGCTGTGTGTTACTGTAATGCTGTATATTTACTGTAGTGCTATGTGTTACTGCTTGTGCTACATATTCTGTAAATTATAATAATGACCTATATAGTCTTTTAACAATTCTTCGCGTATATATACCTTTTTACATTTCTTTTTACTGCCAATTACCATGTGTTTACTGTAATTGCTGCATGTTACTGTAGTGCTGTGTGTTGCACAGTGCCTTATACAGCGCCTGCTGGTGCCATGTGTTGCTGTGGTGCTGTGTGTTGCACCAGCCAGTGCTGCTTGTGTTGCTGTAGTGCGCGCGCCTGGTGCCTTAGCTGTGGTGCTGTGCTGTAGTGCTGCGTGTTGCTGTAGTGCTGCTTGTGTTACTGTGAACTGCTGTATTACTGTAATTGCCATGTACTGCGTGCTGTAGCCTGCGTGCTGTGTGTTACTGTGAGTGCTGTATGTGTTACTGTAATTACTGTGTCAAGTACATAGTGCTGCATGTTGCAGTGCTGCTGTAGTGCCATGTTTCACAGTGCCATGTGTATTACTGTAGTGCTGTGTGTTACTGTAGTGCTGTGTGTACTGTAGTACTGTATGTAGCCACTGTAGTGCTGTATGCCTGTAGTGCTGTGTGTTGCTGGCAGTGCTGTGGCTGCTGCAGTGCTGTATGTTGCTGTATTTAACATATTTGCTGTAGTGCCATGTGTTACTGTAGTGCTGTGTGTGTGTTACTGTAGTGCTGTGTATTACTGTAGTGCTGTGTGTTACTGTGTGCTGTGTGTTACTGTAGTGCTGTGTGTTACTGTAGTGCTGTATGTGCTGTAGTGCTTGTACTGTAGTGCTTTGTGTTACTGTGATGCTGTATTGCTGTGTGTTACTGTAGTGCTGTATGTTACTGTAGTGCTGCTTATACTGTAGTGCTGTATGTACTGTAGTGCTGTAGCTATTTACTGTGGTACTGTGTATTACTGTAGTGCTGTATGTACTGTAGTGCTGTGTGTTACTGTAGTGCTGTATGTTACTGTAGTGCTGTGTGTTACTGTAGTGCTGTGTATACTGTAGTGCTGTGTATTACTGTAGTGCTGTGTGTTACTGTAGTGCTGTGTTACTGTAATTGCTGTGTATTACTGTAGTCTGTGTGTTACTGTAGTACTGTGTGTTACACCATAGTACTGTGTTACTGTAGTGCTATGTGTACACCATGCTATATGTTACAACAATGCTGTGTATTACTGTATCTGTAATATTACTCAAGTGCTGTGTTACTGTAGTGCTGTGTGTTACTGTAGTGCTTAGCATACATTACTGTAGTGCTGTAGCATGCTGTAGTGCTGTATGTTACTGTAGTGCATGTGTACATATCCTTACTGTAGTGCCTGTAATTGCACATTACTGTAGTGCCTGTGTACTGTAGTGCTGTGTATTACTGTAGTGCTGTATGTTCTTTCACTTAGTACTGTATGTGCACATAGTGCTGTGTGTTACTGTAGTGCTGTGTATTGCATAGTGCTGTGTGTTACTGTAGTGCACTGTAGTGCTGTCCCTATTGCTTAATATTACTGTGCTGTGTGTTACTGTAATGCCTGTATATTTATACATGCTGTGTGCTATAATATTTATAACTAGTGCTGTGTGTTGCACTGTAGTGCTGTAATGTTGCCTGGTGCATGGCATTTTGCATGGTGCTGTGTATTACGCAGTGCTGTATTGCTGTAGTGCTGTGTGTTACTGTAGTGCACCCATTATGTTTCCTGTAATTGCGCATATTTATGCATATTTTACTGTAGTGCTTACATGTGTTACTGTAGTGCCAGCCACACTGTAGTGCTGTGTATTACTATGTGCTGTAGCCGTACCATAGTGCACTGTATTACTGTAGCTGTATATTTTGCTTAATATTACTGTAGTGCTGTATGTTACTGTAGTACTGTATATTACTGTAGTGCTGTATGTTACTATAGTGCTGTAGTACTATATGTTTCTTAGTACTGTGTGTTACTATAGTGCTGTATTACTGTATATTACTGTGGTATATGTATTATTATATTCTGTATATTACTGTAGTGCTGTATTACTATGGTGCTGTATGCTGTGGTGCTGTATGCACCATAGTGCTGTATTATTGCTGTGGTGCTGTAGTGACGCACTGTGCTGTGTGTTACTGTAGTGCTGTATTATTTACTGTAGTGCTGTATGTATTGCTGTAGTGCTGTGTGTTACTGTAGTGCTGTATTGCATAGTGCGGTATTATTACTGTAGTGCTGTAATATTGCTGTAGTGCTGTGTGTTTTACTGTAATTCTTTGTCTCTTCCTGCAATGCTGTATTATTTACTGTAGTGCTGTGTACTGTAATTGTAACATTCTGCAGGTGCTGTGTGTGTTACTGCTGCGTGCTGTATGTGTGCTAGTGCTGTGGCTATTGCCTGTAGTGCTGTGTGTGTTACTGTAGTGCTGCTGTGTACTTAGTGCAGTGTTGTGTTACTGTAGTGCACTGTAATATTACTGTGCTGTGTGTTACTGTAGTACTGTGTGTTACTGTAGTGCTGTGTGTTACTGTAGTGCTGTGTGTTCACACCTTTGTACCAACAATACTGTATGCCATTGCTGTACTACACATATTACTACCATTGTATTACTGTAGTGTACTGTGTGCTATACTACCATGTGCTGTAGTGCTGCATACTGTTATTGCTACATTTGCCTTACCGTGCCTTATGTTACTGTATGTTTTTACCTGTATATTATTGCTGTAGTGCTGTAATGTATTCTGTAGTACCAACATGTTACTGTACTGAGTGCTGCTTGTACCGGTGCTGGCCGTATTTACTGCCGTGCTGTACATTGCTGCAGTGCTGTGTATTGCTGTGGTGCTGTATTGTTGCTGCTCGTGCTGCTGCCTGTAATGCCGCCATGTATTACTGTAGTGCTGCCCTGTACTGTACGTGCCAGCATATTGCTGTAGTGCTGTGTGTTACTGTAATTACTGGCAATATTGTTACTGTGTGCTGTAATATTTACTGTAGTGCTGCTGTGTTACGCGCTGTGCTGTTATATTTACTGTAATATGTGCACCATACAAACTGCTGTGTGTGTTACTGCTGTGCTGTAGTGCTGTGCAATTACGCATGTCAATACTGTAGTGTTATGTTGCCCCATGTTCTTAGTGCTACATTATTTACTGTAGTATATACTTATTACTGCAGGTATTGTATTAATATTCACTGTGAAATTCTTTCATGTGTTATTATAGTGCTGTGTATTACTGTAGTGTTGTAACATACCTGGGCTATATTACTGCATTATATATTAATATTATAGTACTGTATATTTATATAATTGCTGCTATTATTACTGTAGTGCTATGTATTACTATAATTATATGTGTTACTGTAGTGCATATGTATGCACATAATGCTGTATGTGTGCTGTAGTGCTGTACTATTACTGTAATTGCTTCATTCCTTAGTGCTGTATGCTTCTGTACTGCATGTATTACTGTAAGTGCTGTGTGTTACTGTAGTGCTGTGTGTTTTCTGTGTGCTGTGGTGCTGTGTGTTACTGTAGTGCTATGTGTGCTGTAGTGCTGTATATTCTTTAGTGCTATGTATTACTGTGTGCTGTGTGTATGGTACCTGTAATTTTATTATTACCGCAGTGCGCATTTAACCGGTGCGTATTTGCTGTAGTGCTGTGTGTTACTGTAGTGCTGTGTTACTGTAGTGCTGTATGTATTACTGTAATTACGGTGTGTTATATGATGCCATGCCATCCACCGCAGTGCTGTGTATTGCTGTAGTGCTGCTTTGCCTGGTGCTGTATGTTACTGTGGTGCTGTGTGTTACTGTAGTGCTGTGTGACCTGCTGGTGCTGCGCATTGCTGTAGTGCTGTGTGTTACTGCCAGTGCAATGTTACTGTAGTGCTGTGCTGTTTGCTGCCGCGTGCTGTATGTTACTGTATGCTGTGTGTTACTGGTGCTGTGTTGCTGTAGTGCTGTATTACTGTGGTACGCCATGTGTTGCTGTGAGTGTTGCTGTGGTGCCTTGTGTTGCAAGTGTTGCTGTGGTGCTGGTTTATTGCATGGTGTTGCTGTGTGTTGCTGTGGAGTGTTGCCGTGGTGCTGTATGTATAACTTCTGGCAGTGCTGTAGGTTGCTGCTGATTTATTTGTAACTGGTGCTGTAACCAATTACTGTAGTGCTGTGTGTTGTATTACTGTGTTGCTGTGTATTACTGTGGTCCTGTGTTGCTGTGTATTACTGTGGTGCTGTGTGTTGCTGTGAGTGCTGCTGTGGTACTGTGTGTTTGTTGTGAGTGTTGTTGTGGTACTGTGTGTGTGCTGTGAGTGTTGCTGTGGTACTGTGTGTTGTTGGGAGTGTTGCTGTGGTACTGTGAGTGTTGCTGTGGTACTGTGTGTTGTTGTGAGTGTTGCTGTGGTACTGTGTGTTGCTGTGGAGTGTTGCTGTGGTACTGTGTGTTGTTGTGAGTGTTGCTGTGGTACTGTGTTTTGTTGTGAGTGTTGCTGTGGGTACTGTGTTTTGCTGTGAGGGGAGTTGCTGTGATAATGGGAGTGCTGCTGTGTGTTGCTGTGATGATGGGAGTGTTGCTGTGTGTTGCTGTGAGGATGTGGAGGTCCAGGATTACAGGTAAACAGTGAGACAGGTGAATGCTCGTCCAGTTTCACGACAATTAACATCACAACACTCTGTTTATTTCCTCACTACCAACACCTCGCTTCACCGGACTGCTGAATCGTACCAGAGTGTGTGTGTGTGTGTGTGTGTGTGTGTGTGTGTGTGTGTGTGTGTGTGTGTGTACAGTTAAACCCCTGCATTATTTCAACTGATGATTAATTTAATAAGGTAGTGAAATGTGGATTGAGAAGTCCGTAGAGTTTATTTATAGCCACTTTACGATAGCGCTTTTTTTACCGAGGGAATTTTGGATTCGTGAATATTTTGTTTTGTTAAATCCTGTCGTGATTTTAGGTTAGGTTAGGTTAGGTTAAATTAAGTTAAATTTGACTACGTAAAGTAAGAATAGGTTAGATCATAATTAAATTAGGTTTAGAGTTAATTTAGATTAGGTTAAATAATATCAGGTTAGGTTACATTAGGTTATACTTGGTTAGTTTAAGTTTGGTTAGGTTTAGGTTAGAATTAAGATGTTTATTTGGTGAAAAAAGGTAGAGTGGCCAACCTTCAGGTGATTTGGACATATATCTACTAGTGCTCATGTCACTAGTGCTCATGTCACTAGTGCTCACGTCACAAGTGCTCGCGTCACTAGTGCTCACGTCAACTTGTATGTCTGCTGTTATTGTTATTTATTTTATTGTTATTGTTGACAGTCCCGCCCTTGGAGGTGAAGATACAGGGTCACAACTCGCCCATGTCTGAGGGTAGACACTACTCCTTGATGTGTGAGGCAGGAGGATCACGTCCCCCTGCCGCCCTCACCTGGTGGATGGATGGCCTCCTGATGACCACCGCTGACGACCAGGTACTGTGTGTGTGTGTGTGTGTGTGTGTGTGACCACTGCTAGAGATGTGTGATTCTGTGAGTGTGATAATGCTTACATATGTACTTTAGTGTGGGCGTGTCAGCTGCGCGGCGCCATTTAAGTAACACGGTATATGAGAACGCCGCTGGTGTTATTGTAGTAATAATAGATATGATAATCTTGTCCAGAGGCATTCCAGCACAATAGATTGAATGTTAATAATGTCATTGTGTTACGTGTGAACCCTTACACACCTGCACGACACTGCTGGGGGTTAAGGTGAACACATGAGTAAAATAAAGTATAGTGACTTACCTTAACATCGTCCACCTCTCAACCAGCTCTCAAGGTAGCCTGTGATTGACTCTGAAATGTAAATAATAGTGATGAAGCATTATGAAGTAGTGGGGTGTGGCTGGATTCTTCTGGAAGTAATTTTACAAGAAGTAATGGTACAGAAAAATACTTAACACGAGAATTACATAAATACATAAATATAAGTAAATACACATAAGTACTTTTAAATGTGTGTGTGTGTGTGTGTCCTGGAGGATGGCAGGCTTCTTGATAATCAGATACGTGTAGGTCTGTGTCTCACTCTTATTCCTTCTCTATCTCTCCCTACTTCTCTCTCTTCCTTTTCCCTCCCGGATTTCTTCTCTTCCTCCATGTCTTTCCCATCATTACATCTTCCTCCCTAACTATCTCACCCTCCCTACTTCTCTCTCTCCCTAGATCTAACACTCCCTTCCTCCCTACAGGGGATGAAGGAAGGCAACGTGAGCAGGACAACAGTTCACCTCACCCCCACCAGACACAACGACGGCGCTATAGTCTCCTGTAGAGCCGAGAACTCCGAGATGCCTGGAGCTGCCATGGAGGACATCATCAAGCTGAGTGTCTACTGTACGTATCCACTAATTAAGCTTTAGTTGTGATTCTAATAATACTTGGGGTCTTATTTTAGCTTTAACTATGCTTTTAATAATACTCGGAGTCTTATTCAGCTTCAAATATGCTTTTAATAATACTCGGAGTCTTATTCAGCTTTAATTATGCTCTTAATATTACTTGGAGTCATACAATTCGATATTCTCTAATCAACAGCCAAATAATATTAGACTTTACTCAACCCAACAGACTCGCCAAGGCTACAGCTAAGGGCGGGGCAGAACTTGGTGATGAGTAATATAAAAGAAGGGGACGATGTTTACTTTGAGTGTGTAATCCACGCTAACCCACCAGTCCAAGGTGTTCAGTGGTTCCTAAAGGTGAGGTGCCCCTGTTGTTTGTTTATATCTCTCTCTATGATCTCTATGGCTATCTTTATCACTCCCTCTGTCTTTATTTCTTTCTTTCTATGTTTTTATTTCTCTCTCGGTCTTTATCTCTCTCTCTCTCTCTCTTTCAAACCCTCTCACACTTATCACTTTCATTGAAATAGCACACAATGTTTTACTCATGACTGAAACACCTCTCTCCTCGATCTCTCACTCACTAAATGCCACCACTTCACCACCACGTTGATTAAATGCATGTTACCTGCCTCTAAAACACAATTCACACACACTCTCTCTCTCTCTCTCTTACTTTCTAATCCCACATTACCATTCAGCCTGTAACCTCCGTGACGTCACAGATCAACTGAGTGTTTGTTTACATCATCAGCTGAGAGTTTACTTACGTCTCCCAGAGGAACTAATGAACAATAACACTAATTTATTTTTACCACACACAAACCTAATCTAATCTGACACTAACCTAACCTAAACCTAACCTAACCTAACCAAACACTAACCTAACCCTGACCTAACCTAACCAAACACTAACCTAACCCTGACCTAACCTAACCAAACACTAACCTAACCCTGACCTAACCTAACCAAACACTAACCTAACCCAATTAGACATTAACGTAACACTAACCTAAACTAAATTAACCTAACCTAACTAGACATTAACCTCACTCAACCTAACATAACACAACACAAAAAATAACCTAACCTAACCAAACCCAACCAAACCAAACCAAACCTAACCTAACCTAACCTAACCAGACACTAACCACATTCATCTTAACCTAACCTAATCTAACATTTCACTGACAACCTTCACAGACACACACACGAGGAAAACTTCAGACATATCATTCTTAACTGACAACAACAGAAGCGTTCGTTTGTGAAGTGAGTAAAACCTTTCTATACAGTGTGTCCTATTGAGCTGTTATCATATTTTTCTTTCACATCTTCCTTTCTTTCTGTCTTCTTTCTCTATTTTCATTTCTTTTTCTGACTTGTTTTTTCTATATTTCTCTCCTTCTTTGATTTATCTCTCGCTTTCTTTATTTCTTTCTCTTTGACTTCTCTCTCTCGCTTCTTTCTCTCCTTTTTTTCTTTCATTCTGCCTCATTCTCTGACTTCTCTCTTATCTCTAATCACTTCTTTCTTTTTTTCTATCCCATTTCTATCTTTCTTCCTCTCTCGTCTCCCCTTCCTCTTTCTCTCTCTTTCTCTCTTTCTCCTTCTCTTCTCTTCAATTCTTAGCTAAATCCTCCATATAGATATATTTAAACATACGTAGATTGACAGGTTTAAACAGCTACTCAAACAGACAGAAGACAGGGCCGAAAACAGATGAATTATATTACTTTAGACAGATAAACATACAGACATACATCAAGACAGACAGACAGACAGATAGAAAAGAAGGTTCTAATCAATGCCAATCCTAAAGGTGTTCGTGTGTGTGTGTGTGTCTGTGTTTTTTTAGGGCAAGGAGCTACGTCATGATGTCTCCGCTGGGATAATATTGACCAACCAGTCTCTCGTGCTGCAGAAGGTTGGTAGACAGTCTTCAGGTGACTACGCGTGTGCTGCCTCCAACACCCACGGCAACGCTACCTCCAAGAGCATACAGCTGAGTGTTAAGTGTGAGTTTACAGTGTTAAGTTTGTTATGGGGTGTTAAGTGTGAGTTTACAGTGGTGTTAAGTGGAGTGGAGGGGAGAGGAGGGGAGGGGAGGGGAGGGAGGGAGGGTAGGGGAGGGAAGAGGTAAAAATAAATTAATAAAATTTACTATAAATACCTACAGGACGGAAAAAAATAAAGGTCAAGGGTGAGAACCAATATATGTATGTTGTGTTGTCAATAGTAAGAGAAACAATTGAGACCCTGCAATTGTGTGTAAATGAGGCAGAAAGTCAGATCAGCAACCTGGGACTTGGTCACATATGGCAGCAGGGTCTACCATTAGACAACACATTATGCTTCCAATATCTTCCCAGGCGGTAGTACCTCCCTGTTTGGTAGCTGCCTACTACCTACTACCTCCAGTGTGAGTTATAGTGTTAAGTGCGAATTTCTACCGTTCAGTCTTCCTACTTCCCCCTCTCTCTCTTTTTTCCTTTCAAATTCTTCTATCCTTCCTCCCAACTCACATCTCCTTCCTTCACCCACTATCCAATTTTATTTGGCCTCCTTCCTTCTCTCCCTCCCTCTTCATCACTCCGCCTTTTCTCTCTCTCTCTCTGTCTCCTCCTCTCACTTCATTTCTTCCATCTCTCCTCCTGTCCCTCACTCTCCATTCTCTTCCTCACCATCTCATTTCATCCCTTACCACTCAACCTCTTTTAAGTTCTCCTCCCATTTCTCTCCAACTACATCTCCCTCCCCCTCTCCCCTCCCTCCTTCCTCTCCCCTACTCTCCCTCCCTCCCTCTCTCTCTCTCCTACTCTCCCCTCCCTCCTTCCTCTCCCCTACTCTCCCTCCCTCCCTCTCTCTCTCTCCTACTCTCCCTCGCTCGCCCGGGAAGAAGTGGGTTTATCTAGCACTCAGCAAGACTGGACAGGGACGGATATTCAGAATACCTTTAAGATGTCTTTCTTCGATATTGCATTCTTGATGTTATCCTTATGACCTGTGTGTGTGTGTGTGTGTGTGTGTGTGTGTGTGTGACTGTTATTACATATAAGTATGAAATGTACACAGTCGCGCCCATGTGCTCAGAGGACCAGAAGTTAACATACGGCAGTGCCAGAGGTCAACAGGTGAACGTCAGCTGCCACGTCGATGCCCACCCAGAAGCCCACACGTTCCGCTGGGCCTTCAACACGTCCACAGAGGTGGTACACATCCCCAAGAACCGCACACACTTCCACCGCAACCGCAGCGTGATGACGTACACACCCAAAACACATCATGATTTCGGCACCTTGTTGTGTTGGGCGAGTAATGACGTGGGCTCACAACCCCAGCCCTGTGTCTACCTGGTGGTACCTGCAGGTGAGTGTACGTGTGTGCGTACCTGCGTATGTCTACCTGTGTGTGTCTACCTGTGTGTATCTACCTGTGTGTGTCTACCTGCGTGTGTCTACCTGTGTGTCCACCTGTGTGTATGTCTAACCTGTGTGTATATTTAGTTGTATGTGTATGTTTACCTCTGTGTGTCCACTTGTGTGTGTATGATTACCTGAGTGTGCATTTACCTGTGTGTATATTTAGTTGTATGTATATGTTTACCTCTGTGTGTGTCCACTTGTGTGTGTATGTTTACCTGAGTGTGCATTTACCTGTGTGTATATTTTTAATTGTATGCATATCTTTACCTCTGCGTGTGTCTACCTGTGTGTCCACCTGGGTATGTCTACCTGTGTGTATATTTAGTTGTATGTGTATGTTTACCTCTGTGTGTCCACTTGTGTGTGTATGATTACCTGAGTGTGCATTTACCTGTGTGTATATTTAATTGTATGTATATCTTTACCTCTGTGTGTATGTGTTTACCTGGTGATGGCTGCTGTCTGGCGTCTTATAAGTGTTCCTCTTGACCTCTTCCTCTTTCACTGTTCCCTTTACTCTGTTCGTGTTTACGGCGTCCTTCTCTCATTCTCTCAATCAACATTTCATTTTACTTTACTCATGCTTGTTGTCGACTCTCTCTCTCTGTCTCTCTCTCTCTCTCTCTCTCTCTCTCTCTCTGTTTTCACCATCATCTTGTCTCCTGTAGGCGTTGTTGTGTACTGTACTCAGGTAGTCCCCTCCTCGTCCCCCAACAGCTGTGCCTGAGGCTGTACATAACTGCAGCGCCTGGCACAACGCCAGCGCCGCCGGAGAAGTGGTGGTGTCGTGTGAGGCCGGATGGAGCGGCGGGCTGACGCAGACGTTCACGCTGGAGGTGCGACAGATGCAGTCCTCAGGGGAGACGGGGGCCGTGGTGGCCTCCCTGGAACAGCTCACACAACCACACTTCACTGTGACGGGTCTGGCTCCCGGGGCAGAGTACCAGCTGTCTGTAGGTGCCTCTAACTCCCAGGGCGCCGCCCCTAACACTCTGCTCATCCACCACACGCCTATAGACGTCGCAGAGAAACGCACCAGTGCAGCCGCAGCGGAGTCCTTCGGCATGGGTCTCGACTTCCTGACGATGGTGCCGATTGTGGCGGTGGTGGCGGGCGCTGTGGCGTCAGTAGTGATCTGTTCTGTGGTGTTGGTCCTGGTGATCCGCAGCCGCCTGCGTCGAGGCCAGAACCATGCACACAGCCACGCCCACGGTTTCAGCCAACCCGGTGGTGTGTACGACAAGGCGGCGCCCCACAATAACACGTGTGATGACGGAGGCTTCGACACTGTTCACCGAGGACCAGACCTGATACTGGTGAAGAGCGGTGAGTGTGTGTGTGTGTGTGTGTGAGTGTGTGGGGAGTGTGTGTGTGTGTGTGTGTGTGTGTGGAGTGTGTGTGTGTGTGTGTGTGTGTGTGTGTGTGTGTGTGTGTGTGTGTGTGTGTGTGTGTGTGTGTGTGTGTGTGTGTGTGTGTGGGAGTGTGTGTGTGTGTGTGTGTGTGTGTGTGTGTGTGTGTGTGTGTGTGTGTGTGTGTGAGTGTGTGTGTGTGTGTGTGTGTGTGTGTGTGTGTGAGTGTGTGTGTGTGTGTGAGTGTGTGTGTGTGTGTGTGTGTGTGTGTGTGTGTGAGTGTGTGTGTGTGTGAGTGTGTGTGAGTGTGTGAGTGTGTGTGGTGTGTGTGTGTGTGTGTGTGTGTGTGTGTGTGTGTGTGTGTGTGTGTGTGTGTGTGTGTGTGTTTGTTAGTGTGTGTGTGTGTGTGTGTGTGTGTGTGTGTGTGTGTGTGTGTGTTGTTTGTTGTTAGTGTGTGTGTGTGTGTGTGTGTGTGTGTGTGTGTGTGTGTGTGTGTGTGTGTGTGTGTGTACATCTCACACACGGTAAAACAAATATCTATCTATCATCAACAGGGAGAGAAGATAGAAAACGGCCAGGTATTTCCCCCCTCACCTGCTCCCCTTCTACTGCTACTACCTTGATGGTGAGTACCTGTCATAGTCAACCATCATCATCATCATCATCATCATCATCATCATCATCATCATCATCATCATCACAATTATTGGTATCGACGCTGCCTACTCTTCGATGTGGCGGCCATATTGACAGTATTAGTACTCATTTGATACTAACACAACACAAAGACACAAGAGCCTCCCAAACTGAGACTAACACAACAATAAATGAATTTACTGTATATAAGTGTAACCAAAATATAGATAGAGATATTTAAGCCCATAAACACACTCATTTTCTGGTAATAATTGGTATTGTTTTGATGTGTTTGTCAGGGTTACCAACAGGTGTGTTTGTGTGTGTTACAGGGTGACCAACAGGTGGGCTCTTCGTCTACAGTCAATAACCCTGCGAGGATCTCCACTCCTAACGTCATCCCTGCTAGGACTTCCACTCCTAGTGTCATCCATGCTAGGACCTCCACTCCTAGCGTCATCCATGCTAGGACCTCCACTCCTAGCGTCATCACTGCTAGGACCTCCACTCCTAGCGTCATCCCTGCTAGGACCTCCACTCCTAGCGTCATCACTGCTAGGACCTCCACTCCTAGCGTCATCCCTGCTAGGACCGAAACCAATACCTCTGCCAGCACCAACCACAGATCTTTGGTTAACCCTAGTACAGGAGCTATGATTAACCCTAGTACAGGAGCTATGATTAACCCTAGTACAGGAACTATGATTAACCCTAGTACAGGAACAATGATTAATCCTAGCATAGGCCCTGATGTCAAAGGTTTGAGTTCAGGCGACGCTCTGATGAACGCCGGCCCTGAAGCCCTTGTGAATACGTCTGGCAACAGCGCCATGTTTGAGATGGGTAGTGGCGGTCCGCCCTTTGGTCGGATAACTCTGTCTGGAGATCCTCTGGATAGCCGGATGACTCGACCTGGAGGCCTTCTCGTTGATGGCCGGATAACTCTTTCAGGAGACCCTCTGGATAACCGGATGACTCGAACTGGGGACTTATTAGACAGCCGGATGCCTCGATCTAGAGACCACTCCTTAGAAGGCCGGATAGCTCGACCTGTTTCCGTAGCATCTCCGGCCACACTGGGTCGTTACCACACTAGGGTGGGTCGCTCCGCCTCCTGCACAGGTCGGGGGGATATCTTTTCCTCGACCTCCACACTTCCTCGTCGTTCCTCCGCCATCGACATCCAGCCAGAGTTCTTCCCGCTCAACCTCAGCACCAGCAGGGAGAGCTGTGTCTAGTTCTGAGGTGAGAGAGAGAGAAAGAGAGTTCAATCTTTTCTTAACAACAGTGATGCGGTGGCAAAGTGGATAAAACACTGCCCTTAGTCTCAAAGGTTGCTGGTTCACGGCCGAGACACTCCCAGTTGACTCACTTGTGAAGAGGTGCTTATCTTTTACAATTGAGGAAGTAAAGCAGCTGAGTGCAGTGCTGAAGGCTCACAGTAGTTTATGTCGTGTTGCAACCTTACCACCACAACGGGTCACCGCCTCGACTGTGGGTCTCACTCTCATTGTCACTCAGCAGTTGACTACAGTTAATACAGATCATCTCTTGCTCCAGGTGATTGGCCAGTCGCTAGTGATCTACTGTGGTCCAGTGGCCTATTGTGATCCTATGGCCTATTGTGGTCCAGTGGTCTGTTGTGGTCCTGTGATCCGTTGTGGTACAGTGGTCCAGAGGTCAGCTGTGGTCTATGTTCTCCAAATGTTCACCTGACCCAAATGTTTTTTCTCCGTCGGTATAAGGGAAATTTATATGTATATATCATTATTTTTTGTCCTGCGTTAAAATGTTTCATGGTGGAAATAATAATTGGCATTGAGAATCTTAATTATTATATTCTGGGAGAGTTTTGTCGGGTTTTTATGACGAAATAACTTTAATTTGTATATATTTTTCAAGTAATTTTTAAAGATACGAGCTGTTGGTATGACTATCATGGAGATTTACATATAAAGATTTATATATATAGACATTTTACATACGTTTCAGTAGTTTAGATATGAATTTTCTTAAAAAAATATTGAAAATATATTAAAAATCAGAATAACAAGGTACGACAATAACAATCAATACACAGACATACATGGATACATACTCGTGTAGAAGCTTATATAACATGGAAAACCCAGTATAACTTGTGACTGGTGAAAACAACAGTGATGACCAAAGAGGTTTGTTCTCACGCCACACAACTGTTGGATAATGTGTTTATTTATTATTAACTGTGTGGCAGACGAGGGCCATGTTCTCTACTGTACTGTATATATTAGAGTGTTGTATATACTGTACTGTGTATTGGTATGTATGTATTATGGCGACCTGTGGTGTAATGGTCAGTATGCTCGCCTCACAAGTGAATGGACCCAGGTTCGATCCTCGGGTTAGGGTGAAACTATGGGCAAGTTTCTTTACGCCATTTGCCTCTGTCTACCCAGCAGTAATTGGGAACCTGGATGTTAATCGCATTCCGGGGTAATGGTTAACTGGTGCAGTTGGTGAGTTGTCCGGTCTTCTCGGACTATTCCTTGACACTGGGTCATGCAACTCGTTAATTTAGGGTGTGGTTGTTGTGTTGGCGACAGCTTCTACACCTTAAACACTGGGTCATGCAGCTCGTTAACTTAGGGTGTGGTTGTTGTGTTGGCGACAGCTTCTACACCTTAAACACTGGGTCATACAGCTCGTTAACTTAGGGTGTGGTTGTTGTGTTGCCGACAGCTTCTACACCTTAAACACTGGGTCATGCAGCTCGTTAACTTAGGGTGTGGTTGTTGTGTTGGCGACAGCTTCTACACCTTAAACACTGGGTCATACAGCTCGTTAACTTAGGGTGTGGTTGTTGTGTTGCCGACAGCTTCTACACCTTAAACACTGGGTCATCGCTCGTTAACTTAGGGTGTGGTTGTTGTGTTGGCGACAGCTTCCACCTTAAACACTGGGTCATGCAACTCGTTAACTTAGGGTTGTGGTTGTTGTGTTGCCGATAGCTTCTACACCTTAAACACTGGGTCACTGCAGCTCGTTAACTTAAGGGTGTGGTTGATGTAGCGACAGCTTCTACACCTTAAACACTGGGTCATGCAACCGTTAGCAAGGTGTGGTTGATGTGGTAGCGACAGCTACACCTTAAACACTGGGTCATGCAGCTCGTTAACTTAGGGTGTGGTTGATGTGGTAGCGACAGCTTCACCTTAAACACTGGGTCATGCAGCTCGTTAACTTAGGGTGTGGTTGTTGTGTTGGCGACAGCTTCTACACCTTAAACACTGGTCATGCAGCTCGTTGTTAACCAGGAATTGTGTGGTTGTTGTGTTGGCGACAGCGTCTACACCTTAAACACTGGGTCATGCAGCTCGTTAACTTAGGGTGTGGTTGTTGTGTTGGCGACAGCTTCTACACCTTAAACACTGGGTCATGCAGCTCGTTAACTCAGGGTGTGGTTGTGGTGTTGGCGACAGCTTCTACACCTTAAACAAATTCACGCCTAGGTGGCCTTGGGCCGGCCATCCTCGTTACACGAGGGGCAACCATTATTATTATGTGTGTGCTGTATGTATGAGACCCATGTTGTAAGACCCATATTGTACATAGCGTGTGTTGGTATATATGTGTATGAGGGACATATTGTACACAGTATGTCTTGGTATATATGAATGTATTCCTGAGGGACCTGTGGTGTAATGGTCAGCATATTCGCCTGTGAAGCGAGTGGACCGGGTTCGATCCCCGGGCAGGGTGACACTGTGGGCAAGTTTCTTTACGCCATTTGCCTCTGTCTACCCAGCAGTAATTGGGAACCTGGATGTTAATCAATTTATGGATCGTGTTCCGGGGTAATGGTTAGCCAGTGCAGCTGGCGAGTTGTCCGGTCTTCTCGGACTATTTCTTGACAAAGGGACAACCGTTATTATGCACGTATATAACGTGTGTTGGTATATTATGTATGTATGTATGTATGTATATATATATGAGGTATTGTATATAGCGTGTGTTTGTATGTATGGGAGACGTACTGTATATAGCCTGGTGTCGGTACAGTATGGTAAATGTGTAAGGCTATAATACTCCTCCACGTGAAGCTCAAGTGTAAGGTATATACATATATATATATCTTTCTACTTTACTGTTTACTTTTGATAAATAAATATACCAAAAATAGCAACTTTGCTGAATATCTGTTGTTTTCTTTCAACCTTGAATGTGAACAATATATATACTTTTCCCTTTTCCCGTGTGATTTTATATATATATATATATCATGTAGATCCACAATGAAAACGTGGATAAGATAAATCTTGATAAAATTACACGGGAAAAGGGAAACAACGGAGCACCTTAGCTTTCGTCTTTATTCAAGACATCTTCAGAGGCAACGGAGTTGCATCTTCGTTGCCTCTGAAGATGTCTTGAATAAAGACGAAAGCTAAGGTGCTCCGTTGTTTCCCTTTTCCCGTGTAATTTTATCAAGATTTATCTTATCCACGTTTTCATTAGATCTACATGATATATATATATATATATATATATATATATATAGTTATATATATATATATATATATATATATATATATATATATATATATATATATATATATACATACACAGATACAAACAAGATACAAAAGATACAAACAAGTCGAAGGTACATATTAGTAAACAAAATAGGCAAACAAATACAAACAAAATGAAAAATAATCAACGTAAACAATGGATGCAAACAAATCAAAGAAGATATAAAAGACTAAAAACATAAAGTGTAAACAAAAACTCAAATGAGGAATAAAAGAAGAAAGCGACGTTACCTTCCTACTGACAATGGAGAGAGAGAGAGAGAGAGAGAGAGAGAGAGAGAGAGGAGAGAGAGAGAGAGAGAGAGAGAGAGAGAGAGAGAGAGACATAATTTTCAAGGCCAAAATATGACACAAGAAAATCCTCACACACACACACACACACACACACACACACACACACACACACACACACACACACACACACACACACACACACACATCTCACTAATGTTGACGCAGCTGAGCAATCAAACAACCATTTCGCTACTATATGCCAGACGCTCCCCCGGCTTGACACAACCACTCTCCCTGCTTACCTACCAGCCCCCTTCCCACTGACTTAGTAGAATAATTTCAAGTAGCAAAACGTCTGGACAAACTAAAATTAAAACGCTCTACCACCCCCATTGACTTACCAATGAAACTCTTCAAGGAGTTCTCCCCGGAGCTTGCTAAACCCCTATGCTCCATCATCAATGCTTCTCTCAGTCAAGCCAGATGCCCAGCTGACTGGGAGACCTCTTATGTATCACCAGTGCCCAAGTCAACCAGCCCACAATCCTTAAATCAGCTACGACCTATTGCAATCACCCCAATACCCAGCCTAATCTGTGAAAGTTTTGTGTTCGACTGGGCTTATGCTGATATTGCAGGAGTCGTAGACCCTCAGCAATTTGGCAACATGAAAACTTCCTCCACCACTCACTGTCTTGTCAGCTTTCTCGATTACATATACCGCCATCTCGAGAAACGAAAAACGTCTGTAGCTGTCGCCTTCATTGATTTCACTAAAGCATTCGACCTAGTCGACCACAATATAATCATCAACAAAGTTATTGACCTCGGGCTTCGGAGAAGTCTTATACCATGGCTTACAGACTTCCTCAGTGACCGACGCCAAGCTGTACGCTTCCGAGGGGCTGTCTCCACCTTTCAGTCACTCACCTGCGGCGTCCCCCAAGGCACCAAGATGGGACCACTCTGCTTCCTTATGCTCATCAATGATGCCCTAAGAGAAACCCCTGCTCGCTGGAAATATGTCGACGACTCCACCATTGGGATCAGCGTCAACAATTCTGCTCCCAACTATACCGCCCTTCAGGATTTATTGAACAGTCTCCAAAACTGGGCCACCAACAACCATGTCACCATCAACCATACCAAGACCATGGTTATGCACATCAACCTCTCCTCCGACAATGTCCCACCTCCTTCCATTACTCTAGGTCCGAACACACTCCAGGTTGTAGATTCCACGAAGCTACTCGGCGTCACCATAGACAACAAACTAAATTGGAAACCACACGTCAGTGAAGTTGTCAAATCCTCCAGCTTCCGTCTCCACCTCCTCCGCCGACTCAAGTCCCTCGGAGTTCCTGCACCCGAGCTCCTCAGTGTTTACACAACATTCATACTTCCCAAGCTCACCTATGCCTCCCCCACCTGGTCTTCCTCCCTAAATGCCACACAACGTAAACACATAGAAAAAGTGCAAAAGAGGGCATGCAAGATTATTCTCTCCCCTTCCTACTCCACATATCAAGAAGCGCTCAACACACTGGACTTTTCTTGACTCACTGACCATCACCACACTCATCTGCAAATTTGGTAAGAAGCTTCTACACCATCCTCGACACCGGCTCCTACTACCACCTGAGATCCCTAGCCCGAGAATTGCTGTTTGACACCACAACCGCATCCAGCCCATAAGTGCACGAACTGATCTCTATAAGAACAGCCCAGTCCCAACCATTGTAAAATTATCAATAACTTGTAATAAACCAGTGTATTCACTCCCAGTAAATACTACTTCTTGCACTGTCACTATGTTGAAATGCACTGTAGTTTGAGCTTTTCCCCATCTAGTTATTATATATCTTATTTGTATCACTTATGTTACTTGTATATTATTTGTAATTCGAAACCCATTCCCCAAATATGTAACTGTATATTTTCAGCCTTCTGGCTGCCAAGCTCTTTCAATAAACCGTTAATTATTATTATTATTATTATTATTTTAACATGAATAATAAATAAAAGAGAGTGCATGAAAGGACGGGCAGTGAATGGGAGCAAATGGAAAACTTGATGAATAGGTAAGACCTTGAAGGAAATTGGTTAGGTAATAACTGATAATGCTGACCGGAAAGTGAAAAAGATGATGGGAGAATTATTATTATTATTATTATTATTATTATTATTATTATTATTATTATTATTATTATTATTATTATTATTATTATTATATTTTACTAGTCTTCTTCTTCTTCTTCTTCTTCTTCTTCTTCTTCTGTCTGTTTACAAGTACTTACACTGATAATAATCGGCATGAAGACAGAACAAAGCAACATCAACATATGTGGTATGAAAGTACAGGACTGCCGGTCGGAACAAATGTCTGAGTGTGCAGAAGCGTGAGGTCTTGTATATCAACACGGTACAGGTGGTAAACTAGCGTCTTCTCAACAACTTCACAGGAGATCAAGTACCTTCCTAACACAGGTACTTAATAATGAACCCGGGAGGAACAGC